AATTGTTGGAGAATTATTAATTAATGAAAATTTTTATTTACTAGTTTTTCTTCAGCGTATTATTTATTCTTTTATTTCATTTTGTACTCTGTGCTTGATTGAAATACTTTAATTGTTTTGATATTTCCCTGATTTTGTGCGCGGACTTAATCAACCCGTGTTCCGAAATTAGGGGGTATCACACAGGGGGTGCGATTGGTTGTGGCTGATTTGCTACTTTCTTTGCGTCGTTCAGCGTCAACATATAGCATTCTTTTGCAACGATCTAATCTCCCCAAAGATTAATTACCTCCTTACCGTCCGAAGACAAACAACGCATCACCTGATGAAGGGCAGATGGAACCCTATTCATTCGATAAATCCATCCTCTACCCATGATGAGATTATAAGAAGGATGGATTTCCATTAAAACGAAGTTCTCCTTCAGTGTCCTTTTTGCAGCAATGACGGATAAATCAATTACCCCAAGGGGGTCCACCTTCGTACCATCAAACCCCATCAAGGGACTAGAGGTAGGACGTACTGAAGGAGAACTCTACCAAACCCAATATTGATACTTCCTGAAGTGATAATATTAGTCGAGGACAATCTCCTTAGCTTGTGAGCAATTCTTAATCTGGATCGGTGTACCTCCTATAATTCTTAATCATCTTCAAACTTCCCATGTATTACATAGATTACTTTTACTTGGGTTCCTTCGACTTTCCGAGGGTTGACTTCCCTCAGCCTTGTTTGCTTTTTTGGTAAGAGGTAGTCCCCCAACTCACCCTTGGCTACCATGTCCTCCACTTGTCGTTTTAGGGATCTGCAATCGTTGGTCGTATGCCCGTAATCCCTATGATAAGCGTAGTGCTTGCTCTTGTCCCTTTGCTCCAAGGGCTACTTCATTGGCTGAGGGGTTGCGAACCTCAGCTTGTTTTCTTGGAATAGTCGGGCCAAGGTAGTGCGAAAAGGGGTGAACTTTTCTTCTATCCTTTACCTCTTCCCAGGTACCTGAAACACCGGTGCTAACGCATGCTGGTTCTTTTGACTTTTTGAGCTCACCGTTTTTTCCCGAGGCTTATTTTCCACAATGACAAAGGTGGCATGTTGTGCTCAATAAGCTACATTCTCCTCAAGCCAGATGTAAACCTGTGCCCTAGCATTGAGAGTCTACATATCCGAAGGGGAATACTTAACTAAAGAGGTATGGAACTTAGTTCCTTAAATCATTCTTATCTTAAATGTTTCTATTGCCATTGCAGGATGACAATCCGCTATTTCCGAAGCTTCCATATTGAATCTGGATAAGAAATCCTGCAACGTCTCACCTCTCTTTTGCCTTATGGTAAAGAGATTAGCGATAGTCTTCTTCTGCTTCTTGTTCCCACAATATTGTGCCAGGAACGCAGCACACAGAGTTTCATAATCTGGGATGGATTTGTGGGGCCTATTCCTTAACCATTCTAATACAGCTCCTGTTAGACAGGTTGGGAAAACTTTACACATGAACAGATCGTTATGATCATCTAATGCCATCTTCTGCGCGTAATGGTCTAGGTGACAGGAGAGATCTCCTGTACCACTAAATTGAGTGAATGATGGCATGGAGAATTTCTTAGGTCTGTCAACAAAGTATATGTCATCGGTGAATAGAGTTCTTACCAAAGATTTCTTATGCTCTCTGGCCATCTCAGCAGGGGTCTGAATCCTCAAGAGCCTCTTCTCATCGAAAGCATCTTGGACACCAGCTCCATCCGGAATGCCATTGGTCCATACTGTAAGCTTACGGCTAGACTTGGCCTGTTTGTCCTGTGTACGATGAGGATGATCATCTAAGGCAATAGCCTCAGTCCTTGTCTTCTGCGCTTGCTGAACCTCACTAGGCCGAGCCGCATTGATCGGTGTCCCATTAGCATGAGGCTCGTTCTCTGGAGGATGTTTTGATTGAAGGGAGGTGCTGCCATATCACCTGGTGGTGGCTGAGGTGTCAACTGAGCCATAGCAGTTCGGAGGGTGTCGTTCTGCTGCTGAAGCAATGTAATTTGGGCTATGCTATCTTCGTTCGCCGGCCAAAGTGCTTCAAACTGGTGTAAGAACTCTTCTCTCATCTTTTGCATTAACTCCATTTGTTGGTCTACCGGTGTTGGTTCCCCGTTCGACATTCCGTGTCGTGGAAACAAAATTACTTTGGAACAAGCGTAGGGGTATATTTTTATACGCTTCCTATAGACGGTGCCAAAGTGTAGGTGCAAATTTCTCTTAACTAATAATAATTAAAAGAAAAAATACAACTCACTTAAAAAATACTAATAATAAACAAGAATTGTAAGTAGAGAAGCGTAGAATTACTTAATCCTTTTATTGGAGGTCTCTGCCTCTATTTATATACAAAAATGTGGTAGAATTATGGTAGGACTCACATTGCTTGTCCTCCAATTTTTTTCATATACAACATTCTTTACAAATATAGTCCTTTTCCTTTTACAATTCTTTCTATGTCAAAGTTGCCTTGCACAGAACTTGCCTTCTTTGCTATTTCCTTTGTGTAGTAGGACTGATCTCATCTTTAAATGCACTTGGGCTGAATGTATCCTAGTCCAACTAACATTGCTAATGGGCCGGATGTTCCATATTATCAATTTTGGGCTACTGACGCTCTTATTAGGGCTTAGCCAGGGTTGGAGGTCCAGCAAAGATGTTATTGGGCTTGATGGAGACTTCAATTTGGGCCTGACCAAGGTGAGTGTATAAAATTAATTAAAGATAGGTTTATAGTGTGATAATGTGGACAATTCTTACTGGAGAGGGATTTTTTCCTCCACAGCTACCTATGGAGATGTATTCAAAAACTCCCATTAAACTTTGAAGAGGAGCTAAATGAGTAAAAAGAATGGTGGAGATAAGTTAAATTGGGAAATTGCTATCTACTCTTTAAAGTGAAAGCCACCTAACTTGAAAAAAATTGCTCAAAGACAATTTTATGTTGATGTTTTTCGATCAATGGTTTAGACAATGATTTATTAATGATTGATTAAAAATTGATGAAATGGATTGCGTGCACACACTTGAACTTGCTAGATTGATTTATAAATATTTCATTAAAATTTGCAAGTTAAAATTCATGTTGTGATTATTTGCTAAGACTTGAAATTGACTGACTATTCTGTGGTGTCAAAAAATTTGTGTTCATAGATATTTCTGACAATTTTCTAGAAATTTGAATCAGGTGTGGACTTGAAAGACTTTGATTGACTACTCAATGATTTGTTCTTAAATTTGTTTTATTTTAAAATCAAAAATAAAAAAATGAAAAAACTGGAAAAAAAATTCAAAAAGATTTGTTGTTTTTAGTTTATAGTTTTTTTTTTTTTTGGTTTGATCATTGAGTGAATCACAAAGTCAAATGAAAATTTTTCTGAAAAATTTCAACTTTAGAAAGCTTAATATGCATTTGCTATCGGTTCCCCAAAAAATTTCAAGTTTAGAAAGCTTACTATGCATTTGCTATCGGTTCCCCATGGCACCTACCGGTTCAAAGGTACAAAGGTATAAGGCTTAAGTCTCTGGAGCCTGGCTATCGGTACCACAAATTTGGTACCAGTTTAAAAATGGTTTATATCCACGTTTTAGTCCCTGCCCAGTGGGAACCGGTTCCCACTTTGGCTACCAATTCCTGGCAGCGAGATTTAGTTTTAAAGTTTCACTTTTTAACTTTGTTGGGCATTGTTGTATACACTTCCTTTCTCTATATTAGATGCACTTTTTCTCTCTCTATATTGCTCACATATATACATCATATATATTGGTTTGATCTTGCATCATTCTCATCATATATTGCAAGATTACATAGAATCATTCAATTAAACTTGAGAATTGAAGATCGAAGTATAGAAGTTGAAAAGAATTTGTGGAGTTTAGGTTTGGGTTTGTGAAAGAACACTTAGAGGATTTGGTTAAGATTGAATCTTGGGTTGCTTTATTGACATTGAAGACTTTGTTGGTTTATGATTCAAGCTTTGTGCTTGATCTTTTGGGGTTTTGAAGAATCAAATCAAGCTTATCCAAGAACAAGTGTTGAAGCGCATGCCAAGTGTTCGGAAAAAATACCGAGTGACCTTCGAGGCTTCAAACCAAAATTTTCCATGCACAAGATGCCTCCAAAATTGTCTCAGAAAGCCAAAGGCAAGGGGATTGCTTCGCCTCCACCTCCTAAGAGAGCCCAAATGACGATTTCTATCCGGGAACCACAAGAGGGTTCGACCGCTCCAAAGGATGATCTAACTGCTCCTGTGCATTCTAGCTCTCTTACCACTGAGATACCACCTGGGTATCCGTCAGTTTCTGACACTGGGAAGGTTCAGTTTTCTTCAGAACATTTCTACAATGACCATGCTTGGCAAGTATACAATAAAGTGTATAAGGACGGCCCAATTAAGTCGGAACGAAATGTGAACTTAAAGAAGTTACAAGATAGTCTAGGAAAGAAATTGGTTGAATATATCGAGAAGCACAAGTGGTTGTTCTATACCACTATGGCGAATTCCTACAGTCCCGAGATCTCATTCACTATTTCTACTCAAATATCTACAAAGTTCATGATTCTGGATATTTTGAGGTTTCATTGTTCGGGAAGGATTATGTTGTTCATACAAATGTGATCGGCAAAGTTCTTGGTATTCCCAAGAATTTTTCTAGCACAAGATATCGTCTTCCACTTTCTCACTTGGGGTTGAAGTGGGAAAATATCTGTAATGAGCTATGTGTTCCAGATTTACCGAGATTTCTCGACTGCATTCCCAATCGTTATTTGACAGATAAGACGGTTTTTCTGAATTTGTTAGCCATCGCAAATTTGGGTTACTTTGGGAAGAAGGATGTTATTTCTGTAGATCGTGCAGTGGTACTATAACTCTAATCCATTGATATTGAGATTTATATTGATTCTTCTATCTATGGTGATGGTTGCACACTACAAGAATAACACATGCAAGAAATCATCTCCATTCCCTATGATTATTATGGGGTTATATCGGCATTTTGAGATTCCTCTTCCACCCCATGCTCACCATATTAAGATCATGTCTGAGTTGGATGTGAGTGCTTTTAGCAAGGTCAAATCTATACGAGCTTTATCTAGGAATGCTGGCACGGGTGCAGCTGCATCTTCATCTTCTCTTCTTGAGGATACTACGCTTTTTTCAACTAAGCAAGCGTTTAACACTCTGGATGCCAATTTGCTCTATTCATTGACTCTTCAGAATCAACAAGCCTTGATAGATGTTGTTCGTGATCTTCAAGAGGATGTTAGGTTGCTTAAGGAGTAGAGAACAGGTGATACTTCTGAGGATGTATACAGATCAACCCCTCCAGATCCGTCACTTATGGCTGACGATGATAAAGATGAGGATAACGAGTCAGACGATGATGCAGAGGATGATGAGGATATTAGTGGGAGTGATACTGATGATGATGAGGAGATTCCGATATCTACAGTTCTGTTTGCTGGAGATGATCCAGATGCTTGATTCTATGTTCATATCATGCATGCATGCGTTATTTTTTATCAGTTTTTACATTGTTATGACTTGATATTTCTGGATTTTTTTTTTTTCTAACATGTATTAAATTGATTTCTGTTTACTCAGTTTTAGTTTTATTTCTCTCTGGTTATTTTGCTGTTTCTTTATCAATTTTGCTCCAAAAAGGGGGAGATATATACCAAGGTTACATTAAGGGGGAGATTTTAATATTTTTTGGATAATTTATTCTGGGGGAGTTTTAAATTTGTTTTATTAAACTTTCACTGGTAGTTTTGCTTGAACCATGTGTAGGAATTTAGGTAACAATTTATTCAAGAGCTGAAGAGAACAGAGATATGATTTTTCTATCTTTCCTTAAAACAATTGTAATTTATTTTTCTACTTTGGGTAGATTATACATTCTTTGCAGGGTTTTGTCATGAAATTGCCAAAGGGGGAGACTGTGAGATATATTTTTGTAATTGGCATATTTCGGTAACAAAACTAGTCCTAGTTGAGTTGTAATTTAAGTTACCATATCCGACTTGACATCGATTACGGAATTCAAAGTTTGTTCAGAAGAGAAAAGTGTTGTTACTCATTGAAAAGGAAAGAACAACGATTAGGACATTGTTTCCCACTTAGGACACATTGATATCCATGATATATTTTCAGAGTTCCAAACATACAGAATTCCAAGTTATATTTGAATTTGTCAAGTGGGAATCGGTACCAAGATTTAGGAACCAGTTCCAAGTTCTAATACTCGAGAAACAACTCTCTGTCAAGTGGGAACCGGTACCAAGATTGGGAACCGGTTCCACAAGTCCTAATTGTAAAAGGTTTCAAGTTTCCTTATTCTGTTTAATACCTTTTCAATCCAACTTTTCTTTTAAGTCCTATGCACAATTTTTCCTTTATTTTCAGAAGGAATAGGACTTTGCAAACCTTTATATAAACCATGTCACATACATTAGTTTATTCACGGCTTTTGTTATACAGATTCATTATTTTTAAAAGCCTTAGGAAGATTATCTTTATAGAAAATCAGAGTTGATTTTTGTCATCTTTCTAGAACACATACACATAAACACATAGTGAGTTTAGAGTTGTGGCGTTCAAATCCTGATTGTGATCATACATTTGTATCTATATCGATTAGATGAAAGTAGATCTACTTCTACATTGAATTCAGACGTTTAAACAACGGAAGTAAACGCGTTTGAGCATTTGAGGAGTGTTGTCTAATCTACCTGCTACTCTTCTACAAATATCAAGCATAACCTTGAGGTCAAGATGTTGTTGGACAGGGAGTCGCAAAGCTAAGAGGATCGTCAATAGTTGGTGTTTGGTTGAACGATATGGTGTGAGCCGGAGTCAAAGTTCGATATACTTTGTTTCAAGCATAATGGATTGGTTTACTTTGGACTGCACATTCCACGAGGTTTTTCCCATAACAGTTGACGTATTTTATCAACTGGAGTTTACTCGCTAAAATCCTGGTGTCATCTCTAACTTTATACTTTGCTTTATTTTATCTGCATATAATTAGCTGTTTAATTGCTAAAATATAAAATAAGTAAAGCTGGTAAGGACACAGATCTGTTTCACAAAACAAACATAAAATTTCTAAGTATTTTCTGCTGCGTACGACTCACAATTTGGTGTTAGAGCCAATCTCTATACATTAAGTTGATCCTTGTTGGAAAGTTTAGTTTTGTTGTGTTTTTCAAAAATTATTTTTAAAATCATGTCTTATGCGTTGAAAGAAGGTGGATCTAATCAACGTGGTCCTTTATTTGAAGGAAATAATTACAATTTTTGGAAATAAATAATGAGAGCTTATTTATAAAATTCTGCTGGTAAAGCTTGGGCAATAGTTGAAACTGGCTATACACCTCCTACAGTAGATACAACTGGGGATGGCAAAATAGTTAAAGAGTTAAAAGATATTTTTTCTTTTACTGCTGTTAAAACTGAGCGTAATGATGCTAATGGCAAAGCTTTATATTCAATTATTAATTCTGTTATTCCATCTGAATATGCTAGAATTTCTGATTATAAAACTGCTAAAAAAGTTTGGGATATTTTATAGGTTACTCATGAAGGAACTTCTAAAGTGAAGTTGTCCAAAATTTAGTCACTTTCTCATAAATTTGGGAACATCGTGATGAAAGAAGATGAAACCTTTTTGGATTTTTATTCTAGTCTTCTTAAAATAATTTCTGAACTGCGTCACTTAGGTAAAAAAATTTTGTGATAAGAAAATCTATGAGAAAATCTTAAGGTCTTTACCTAAAAGATTTCATATCAGAGTTGAAACAATCATTGAACATTGGGACTTGTCTACCAGTAAAGTAGATGAAATGGTAGGTTCATTAAAAACTTTTGAGATGCAGAATTTTGAGTTAGAGCAGAAAGAGAAAAATCTTGCTTTAAAATCTATACAGGTTGAGCATTTTGTGGATGACAACTCTGATCATGATCTAGCATTCATGTCAAGGCAATATAGTCAAATTTTACAAAGGCAACAGAGGAGTAGGAATAGCAACATCGCTAATCCTAAAAATTTTGACAAAACGTCAAAGTTTAGATTTAATGAAAAGAAAGTAGAAGAATTAAAAGAAACTGAATTCATTTGCTGGAATTGTGGTGGCAAAGGTCATACGTCTAATGTTTGCCCTAGTCTTAGGAAAGAGCAAAAGGATAGAAATAAAGGAAAAGCAATGAAAGTTTCTATATCTGAAAATTCTACTTTAAGTGATAGTGATTCTCCTTTGAGTGATTCTAATGATTTTTCTTTTGTCGTTTTTCTTAATAGAGGTCCTCATGTCATGTCTTTATCTGACTCTGATATTTTAGATAACAAAGAAAAAGAGTTTCATGATGAACAAGTGCAAGAAGATAAAAAAGACGATGAAAAGTTGAAGAAGATGGTCAAAGAAATCATTGAAGTCAAACAGGCAATCAATAAGCTAGCAAAAGAGCTTATCCAAGCAAAAGGAAAGAATGAAGATCTAAAGAAACAGATTGATGAAGGAAAAAGGAAAGCTTTTGAAAGCGATTCTGTCATCACTGAGCTTGAGAAGAATATCATCATTCTGGAGGATAAGGTCAGTGTTGCTAACTCATTAAAAGAATGTGTTGCTTTGAAAAATAATTATCTTAAAATTGAATTAAAATTTGAAAAAGATAAACTGAAAGGGTTCAATATGAGTCAAAACAGTTTGAATAAGATAATCAACATGGGTAAGGATGTGAATGATAAAATAAGGTTAGGATTTGTTAAAGTTTCTTCAAGTAATCAGGGTAAAATAACTTTTGTTAAACCTGCTATTATGCCTAAACCATGTTTTCCTAATGCATCACATTCTGATATGTCTTATGTGCCTAAATTGTTGCATTGCACTTTTTGTGGAAAAAAATGGACATAAGTATAACTCATGCCTTCATCGGAAAAATAAAGACTTTTCTGAAAATCATTCTTAAAATACTCATGCTAAGAAAAATGTGCATTCTAGGAAGAAAAAGAATGTTGGTTCACCTAAGACTTCTAGAGCTGAATATTTGCCTAAGAAAGAGGTAAAGAGAGAAAAATTTCAGGAAATGAGAGTGAGACTTGTTTGGATCAAAAAGTCTGATTTGATTCATTATATGCATGTTGAGTCCATAGAATATGTTTCCAAAAGGACTTCACCTTCAAACTGAGTCCTATAAATTTTAGTGATCATGGCTTGTGCCATAAAAGAAATTCTGTTGCCATTGGATCACTTGTTAGGGTTTTGAGTTGTTGATCATAGTCGTTGTGATATATTTGAGGAAAATTTTTCATTGGTTTTATGATCTATCTTTGAATGTATATTTGGACACATAATTTTTTTAATTAAAAATAGATTCTTCGTTTGTAATTTATATATTGAAAGTTGATTTGCATTGATTAAGAGATATTTATATTTAAATCTCTTAAGTTCATAACCTTTTGTGCACTAGTCCAAATCTGAAAAATTTGATTGAAAATCTTTGAATTATTGACTAGGGTATATTGATCATAAAAGTTATAAAGGTTATTGTCTAAAAAAAATAGGAGTTTAAAAAAAATAATAAAAAAAAAAAATCAACTTGGAAAAGAAAAGAAAAATCTGAAATATGCTGAATTCTTTGTTTAGGAAAAGATTACCTATTGAGATGTATTCGAAAGCTCCCATTAAACTTTAAAGAGGAGCTAAATGAGTAAAGAGAAAGGAGGAGATAAATTGAATTGAAAAATTACTGTCTAATCTTTAGAGTGACAGCCACCTAACTTGAAAAAAAAATTGCTCAAAGACAATTTTATCTTGATGTTTTTCTATCAATATGATTTAGACAATAATTTATTGATGATTGATTGAAAATTGATGAGATGTATTGCGCACAGACACACTTGAACTTGCTAGATTGACTTCTAAATATTTCATTAAAATTTGCAAGTTAAAATTCATGTTGTGATTATTTTCTGAGACTTGAAATTGATTGACTATTCTGTTGTGTCAAAAAATTTGTATTCATAGATATCTCTGATACTTCTCTGGAAATTTGAATCAGGTGTGTACTTGAAAGACTTTGATTGACTGCTCAATGATTTTTTCTTAAATTTGTTTTGTTTTAAAATTAAAAATAAAAAAAAATGAAAAAACTAGAAAAAAAATCAAAAAGATTTGTTGTTTTTAGTTTATAGTGTTTTTTTTTTTTTGATCATTGAGTGAATCACAAAGTCAAATGAAAATTTTTCTAAAAAATTTAAAGTTTAGAAAGCTTACTGCCCATTTGTTACCAGTTCCCCATGGATCCTACCGGTTTAAAGGTACAAAGGTACAAGGCTTAAGTCTGGAGCTTGGCTACCAGCACCACAAATTTGGTACCGGTTCAAAAGTGGTTCATATCCACATTTAGTCACTTCCCAGTGGGAACCGGTTCCCACTTTGGCTACCAGTTCCTGGCAGTGAGATTTGGTTTTAAAGTTTCACTTTTTAACTTTGTTGGGCATTATTGCATACACTTCCTCTCTCTATATTAGATGCATTTTTTCTCTCTCTATATTGCTTAAATATATACATCATATATATTGGTTTGATCTTGCATCATTCTCATCATATATTGCAAGATTACATAGAATCATTCAATTGAACTTAAGAATTGAAGATCAAAGTATAGAAGTTAAAGAGAATTTGTGGAGTTTGGGTTTGGGTTTGGGTTTGTGAAAGAACACTTAAAGGATTTGGTTAAGATTGAATCTTGGGTTGCTTTGTTGACATTGAAGACTTTTTTGGTTTGTGATTCAAGCTTTGTGTTTGATCTTTTGGGATTTTGAAGAATCAAATCAAGCTTGTCCAAGAACAAGTGTTGAAGTGCACGCCAAGTATTTGACAAAATTATCGAGTGACCTTCGAAGCTTGAAACCAAAATTTTCCGAACACAAGATACCTCCAAAATTGTCTCAGAAAGCCAAAGGCAATGGGATTGCTTCACCTCCACTTCCCAAGAGAGCCCGAATGACGATTTCTATCCGGGAACCATAAGAGGGTTCAACCACTCCAAGGGATGATCCGACTTCTCCTGTGCGCTCTAGCTCTCCTACCACTGAGATACCACCTGGGTATCCATCTGTTTCTGATACTGGGAAGGTTCAGTTTACTTCAGAACATTTCTACAATGACCATGCTTGGCAAGTATACCATAAAGTGTATAAGGACGGTCCAATTAAGTCAGTACGAAATGTGAACTTGAAGAAATTACGAGATAGTCCAGGAAAGAAATTGGTTGAATATATGTAGAAGCACAAGTGGTTGTTCTTTACCACTACAGCAAATTCCTACAGTCCCGAGATCTTCGTTCACTATTTCTACTCGAACATCTGTAAAGTTCATGATTCCGGATATTTTGAGGTTTCATTATTCGAGAAGGATTATGTTGTTCATATAGATGTGATAGGCAATGTTCTTGGTATTCCCAAGAATTTTTCCAACACTGGATATTGTCTTCCGTTTTCTCACTCTGGGTTAAAATGGGAAGATATCTGCAATGAGCTATGTGTTCTAGATTCATCGAGATTGCCTGACTACATTCCCAATCGTTATTTGACAGATAAGGCGGCTTTTCTGAATTTGTTTGCCATCGTAAATCTAGGTTACTTCAGGAAGACGGATGTTATTTCTATAGATCGTGCAAAGGTAGTATATCTCTTATTCATTGATGCTGAGATTTATCTTGATTCTTCTATCTATGGTTTGATGGTTGCACACTACAAGAATAACACAACGAAGAAATCATCTCCATTCCCTATGATTATTATGGGGTTATATCATCATTTTGAGATTCCTCTTCCAACCCGTGTTCACCATACTAAGATCATGTCCGAGGTGGATATGAGGGCTTTTAACAAGGCTAAACCTGCACGACCTTCATCTAGGAAAGCTAGCACGGGTGCAGCTGCATCTTCATCATCTCTTCTAGAGGTTACTACACTTTTTCCGACTAAGCGGGAGTTTAACACTCTGATGCCAATTTGCTCTATTCATTGATTCTTCAGAATCAACAAGCTTTGATGGATGTAGTTCATAATCTTCAAGAGGATGTTAGGTTTCTTAAGGAGCAAAGGATGGGTGGTATTTCTAAGGATGTATATAGACCAGCCTCTTTAGATCCGTCAACTGTGGTTGAGGATGATAGATATGAGGATGATGAGTCAGATGATGATGCAAAGGACGATAAAGATGTCAGTGGGAGTGAGACTGATGATGGTGCTAATGATGATGCGGAGATTCTGACATCTACAGTTCTGTTTGCTGGAGATGATCCTGATGCTTAATTCTATGCTGATATCATTCATGTATCATTTTTTATCAGTTTTTACATTGTTATGACTTGATATTTCTGGATATTTTATTTTTGTTTTTGATATATATTAAACTGATTTATGTTTACTCTGCTTTAGTTTTATTTCTCTCTAGTTGTTTTGCTGTTGCTTTGTCAATTTTGCTCCAAAAAGGGAGAGATATATACCAAGGTTACATTAAGGGGGAGATTTTTAAATTTTTTGGATAATTTATTCAGGGAGAGTTTTAAATTTGTTTTATTAAACTTTCACTGGTAATTTTGCTTGAATCATGTGCAAGAATTCAGGTAACAGTTTATTCAAGAGCTGAAGAGAACAGAGATTTGATTTTTCCGTCTTTCCTTAAAACAATCGTAATTTATTTTTCTGCTTTGAGTAGATTATACATTGTTTGTAGGCTTTTGTCATGAAATTGCCAAAGGGGGAGATTGTGAGATATATTTTTGTAATTGGCATATTTCGGTAACAAAACTAGTCCTAGTTGAGTTCTAATTTCAGTTTCCATATCTGACTTGACATCGACTGCGAAATTAAAAGTTTGTTCAGAAGAGGAAAGTACTGTTACTCATTGAAAATGAAAGAACAACGATTAGGACATTGTTTCCCACTTAGGACACATTGATATACATGGTATATTTTCAGAGTTCCAAATATACAGAATTTCCAAGTTATATTGGAATCTGTCAAGTGGGAACCGGTACCAAGATTTGGGAACCGATTCCAAGTTCTAATACTCAAGAAATAACTCTCTATCCAGTAGGAATCGGTACCAAGATTGGGAACCAGTTCCACAAGTCCTGATTGTAAAAGGTTTCAAGTTTCCTTATTCTGTTTAATACCTTTTCAATCCAACTTTCCTTCTAAGTCCTATGCACGAATTTTCCTTTATTTTCAAATAGAATAGGACTTTGCAAACCTTTATATAAACCATGTCATATACATTGGTTTATTCACGGCTTCTGTTATATAGATTCATTATTTTTAAAAGCCTTAGGAAGATTATCTTTGCAGAAAATCAGAATTGATTTTTCTGTCATCTTTCTGAGAACACATACACATAAACACATAGTGAGTTTAGAGTTGTGGTGTTCAAATCCTGATCATGATCATACAGTTGCATCCACATCGATCAGACGAAAGAAGAACCACTTCTATATCGAATTCAGACGATTGAACAACAGATGTAAAAGCAATCACATTTGAAAGTGTTGGAGCATTCGAGGAGTGTTGTCTAATCTACCTGCTACTCTTCTATAAATATCAAGCATAAGTCTGAGGTCAAGTTGCTGTTGGATAGGGAGTCGTAAAGCCAAGAGGATCATCAGCAGTTGGTGTTTGGTAGAACGATAGAGTGTGAGCCAGAGTCAAAGTTCGGTATACTTTGTTTCAAATATAGTAGATTAGTTTACTTTGGACTGCACAGTCCACGAGGTTTTTCCCATAACAGTTGACGTATTTTGTCAACTGAGGCTTCCTTCCTAAAATTCTGGTATCCTCACTAACTTTATACTTTGTTTTATTTTATCTGCATGCAATTAACTGTTTAATTGTTAAAATATAAAATAAGTAGAGCTGGTAAGGACATAGATCTGTTTTACAAAACAAATAAAAACATTCTAAGTATTTTCCGCTGTGTCCAACTCACAAATAGGATGTGTTATTCATCTTAGGTTAGCAATAAGCACATGTAGTGGTAGTAGTAGTAGTGGTAATGGTAGCAGTGGTAGTCACTTCAAAGAAAAATAGGAATGTAAAATACCTTGTAAGCTCGACATTAACCAAATTTCGGGAGGACAATTCATGGATGTTGCCAAGGGCATATATCCCGTCTTCGTCCAGGTTGTACAGTTCAGTCCACATATCCATAAGAGCCGCGACACGGATCCTTTGATTTTCAGGAAATGAACCTAGGTCCAGGAAACACTCCTTGACATGAGTCTTTTCATCCAAGGCATCTATGCTACTTTTCAGACGAAAAAGCAGCTCACTGTTCAAATCAAAAATGGATTGTCTTTCGTAACTTTCGTTAGACAATTGCATCCGTCTACGTGTCCAGATGACCTCAGGTTGCCCGTGGAGTGATCCGCCAACCACATAAAGAGCCAGTGGGAATCCCCCACATCCTCTTACTATCTGCAATTTGAAGCGGGAAATTAAATTAGTGACGTACAGCTTTTTGCGAAGGAAACAAAGTAATACAGAATTGCATATATATATATATATATAGGTATGTAAATACAAGCTCTACTTCTTGATCTTCAATTAAGTGGATGTAACTAATGCAGATATGCAGACAAGTACCAGAAGGCTCTCCTTCTTGATCTTCAGTTAAATGAATCTAACCAATCAACAGTTGCAGGAAAGAAAAACCATGTGTTTGCACATAAATTTTGATCTGTTCTTTATGTGCAAGCACATAATTTTAGCAGACGACTAACAACAAAAATAACAACTCATGCATACAAAGTGTACGGCTGTATTCAACCTCACGGACAAGATCCTCTGGAATGTTCATGCTCCCACCTTGCGGAAATGCTGACTGACAAAAAAGTTCCATGTCATGTGGGTCCCTCAATATTCCCAATTTATATGTAGAATCAAATTTTGGAAATTCTGATCTTGATGCAACCAATATTTTGTATCCTGTTATTCCGAACATGAACCTCTGAATAAGGGATTCTGATTCATCCCACACATCATCCAACACCAATAATACAGCGGGATCTAGTCCTCTCAGCATGGTCCCTAGCTGGTTGATCGCGTCGTCCTCATTTTGAAACTCAGGCACCGTAAAAGACGCATGTCTAAACATATTCTCAACAATGAGCTTGAGGTTGGGTGTCTTGGAAACCGTGACAAAGAAAATATTGATCCCAAATCTGCCTGTAAAAAGATGGCACTATAAAATCGGCTAGAAAGGCAATGTAAAACACGGTAGGAGTAATAAGTTTTAGAAAGTTCATAGATAACAGTTCTGCACCAAAGCTTTGGGAAGTCTGTCCACAACTTTATCTCTTGCAGTGAAAACTGATTTTAAGAACAAAAGAATCAACCAACTCATGAAGAATCAGGCCCAAGCTTGAGAGTTTTCATCTTTATTTTTAGATGATAAAGTGAAAAAGAAAAAAAGAAAAAAACTGCAATAGAAAAAATGTGCAAAAAAAATATCATTGTTATTTAGTATGTGCATATAAATCAATGTAATTTGAAATTTTCTATCAATTTCAAAATACCTAAGGCTTTGTTTGGTTAGGTAGAAATAGTTAGAAAAGAAAAGAAAGAGAAAATTTTTAAATTTTTTTAGAGTTTGGATAGATAGAAAGAAAAAACTAATGGAAAATTTTGTTTTCATACTTGTCTATTTTCTTTCAAAACTTTTCATGCACATGGAAAATAATTTTTTTTCGTGAAATGTTTGCCTTTTTATTTGACATTCCTATTTTACCCAATAGTGAAAAATAATGTCTTCCTTTATTTTTGTACTGGATTTTTAAGAGACAAGTTCTCTGCAAAACAACTTTTTCTTTAGGTTTTTTTTTTTTTTTTTTTTTTTTTTTTTTTTTTTTTTTTCCACCTTTCTTTGTTTTTCCACAAATTCATATATAATTGGCAACAACAAAATACAATCAAATCTCTCTAAAAAAAATTAGTATTGCCATCAATACATCTCCGTATTTTTTTTTTTTTTAAGTTTCTTTTCTTATACACTAATAATTAGTTCTACTATCTCAGAAAATATTATGAAGTCTTATTTTAATTATAAATAAAATATAAATAATTATATTATTAATTTTAATAATCTATTATTTTACTATTTATTTGCTAAAAATAGACATCAATAAATACAAATTCATTTATTTATTAGTATTTAAAATTATAAGGGTAAATTTGATATCTTTAACTGATTTCTTTTCACTTTCTTGCTATCTAAAATAATAAATTAATATTTTTTTATAGTTTTCTTGAATAAATTTCCATTCTAACCAAATACATGCTAGAAAATAAATAATTTTCCATTCACTTCACTTTTATTTTATTTTCTATTTCTTTTCTTTTCTTCCTTATTTCTATCTAACCAAACGGATTAAGGAAATTTAGATATTTCAGTCTTCATTTTTTTTTTTTTAATAAAATTTTGTAAAAATTTCAAAATACCACAAAATTTTTATAAAAACCTCTAAAATTTTTATAAAAATCCTAATTTTTTAAAATCAATGTTTTTTAGTTTTATATTGTCTTAGGTCATTTTAGTTGTTTCCTTATTTGCTCAATTAATTTGAAATTGTAGGATTTTTTAACACAAGGTATTTGCACATTCTGTAAATAGTAATTTTTTTATTTATTATTTTTTGTTTTTTTGTTCACTTTACGTTTTAATGAAAAGAGTACAATTTATATTTAGATTTAGGTTCCAACATATATCAAAATTACAAGCATGGATATCAACAATTGAAAAGGATTCATCCAAATGTAACAATGATTCCTGATGCATGAGAAATTCACCAAATTAAATCAGAAACGAGAGAATTTTTATATTGATACCTCTGATTTCAAAATCACTACAGAGCATTTTCACCAACGTAGTCTTACCACACCCTCCAGCAGCCGAAAGCACAACCACCTGTACACCATCCTCTAGCAACTTCGTCTTCAAATCTCGGAGATGCACATCAAATCCAACAATACAACCAGAAATTCCGGGAACTTCACACGGTCTTTCAAAAATACTACTTGTGGTCGTCGTCGTCATCATCAGCCCGAGTCCATCAACTTTCGAATTTATTTCATCCACTTTCTTATTTATTTCATCCACTTTAGCGAGAATCTTCTTGCCATCTCTTGTCTGAATAGCTTGCACATCGGTCTGAAAGATTTTGACAAGCCAATCCTCAAATTCGATGAGCTTCTTGGAGTAATAAGGCTTCGTGAAGATTTTCAAACCCTTGATCTTCAAGCACTCGAGGATAAGCTTCTCGCCCTCTTGCAACCCAAGGATGAGCCTTTTGGTTTCTTCCTCGGGATGGTTCAATTCTCTGTCCAATTTCTCAATCTCACTTACAATTGGTTTGAGTGAATTGAGTATTGATTGGATTTCGTTGAGGTTGGACTTGAAGGTGATGCCTTTGCCTATGACATAAACAACAGCATCCAGTACTTTACTAAATGCTGATCCCAATGCAGCCCCTCCAATCAACTCCGCCATTTATATAGATTCTTTTGCTCTGCACAGAATATCCAATTCGCTGAATATCAAGACGAAATGGGTTTCTGGATCTTCTGGTTATGTTTGTGAAGTTTGGGTGTGTGAGTATGTGAGAGAAGACCGGAACGAATATTTTGGAATTTCAGAAGTTGCTCTAATTTTTCCTGAGAAATGAAGAAAGAAATGTACATTTCTTCGTAACTTCCCAGTGTGAGCTCGTTGACGAACAATTGGCCCTTTACATGATTATTATTTACACTAATCACGGTTGGTACTGTAATTTTTTTTTCTTTATACCAGCGCACTACAAGAAAAGACGGGTCTAGAATTAAAAAATAGTAATTTTATTTTCTTTATACCAGCGCACTACAAGTAAAAAATTAGCAGCAAAAATTAAAAAAAAAAAAGAAGGTAAAGTATAGAAGTTTGGGGAAAGACAATGATATCCTTTTAAATTTGAAAAACAGACAAAAAGACCCTAAAGATGGTGAATTGACCTTATTACCTTTTAGTATAAAATTGATATTTTAATTTACTTAAATACCCTTGGATTAAATCCAAACCCATCTCGAACCCGAACCCGAACCCGAACCTGCCTGTGTAAGAACCCTATCCCCTTTTCTCTACACACACACTACATCTTCATCACCACTAAGCCGCCGCCGCCTGATCATCATCATTCTCATGTGGTGGTGCTTGAACACTCTACAGCTCCTCTTCGGCGTCTTCCAAGTAGCCGCAAAAGGTCTCGACGTTCTTGTCGGACTCGACGACCACCACGATCTCGCCGGTAGAATAAGCAATGAAGAAGAGAGACAGCGATTCCACCGTCGGCCAATTGGAGCTCAAAGCAGTGGACCTGTTGGTGTTGTGTTTGAGGTCGTCGTCGGTCAATCGGAACATCTCGGAGTAATAATCTGATCTATCCTTTGTTATTATTCGTGGTGAGGTAGAGGATAACAACTTTCTATCAGAGTAACCCCCACAGACTGGCGACGTCCTTTCGGCGACCACAAATTGTAAGGCTTCGAAGGGGTTTCACATTGTCTTTGTGTGGGGATTTCTATGGCTTTGATGCTACGTGGGTTTTTTTATGTCTTGATTGGGTTTTCTGATTGGAGAAAATAGGGTAGTTGAAGATGGGTTACCCAGAGATAAAGTGAGCAGAGAGAGGGAGAGGCGTGCTGCCAACTCGGCCGTCGGCGAAGGTTCAGATCTCGCCGGTGATGGTGGTTGAGGTGTGGCGGTGGTTCGCCGGTGGGGGTGGTTTGAGGTTTGGTGAAGGGTTTGTTTCGTTCGGTGTAATTGAGAGGGTTTGTTCAGCCGGGTTTGGGTTTGTGATGAAGTGGTTAGCAGGTTGTGTTGGGTTTAACAAGTACAGAAGTGAGGGGGTGAAGTAAGGGCAAAAATATCATTTAAAAGTTATAAAATTTTATAGTTTAAATTAATAAAATTATTGAAGGGTAATATTAACTTTTCACAATTTTAAAGACGTGTTTGGATTCATTTTTTAATAAGGGGATGTCTTTGTCCCAAAATGACTGAACTTGTATATGATTATCCTTCGGACAAACTTGAGGGGTGTCCTGTGCTTTACCCAAAACTTGAATTTTTTCTTGTGTATGATCTGTCTATATAAGAGTTGGATTTTACCTGTTTCATTAGTTATGTTGTTCATTATTCAACATTGTACATAATTTGGAATCAAAGATAGAGATAATTAAAATAATAATTGAACATTGAAATAGATGAATTTGTGGCAATTTATACTTTGTTTGTCCAACTAAGTTTGTTTTATGTGTTTTGAATTTGTGGCAAGCAAAGTTTATCATTCCGTAGTGTGCTAAATCATGGGTATTGAAATCGACCAGTTGTAAATGGAGTAACTTTAAATCTAATTTGAATAGAAAGCATTACAAGAAATAGAGGTGGGTAAAAAATTCGCCAATTCGTGAACCCGATCCAATCCGTACGGATCAGATCGGATTACCAGACCCACGGATCGGTGACAGATTTTAAAAAATTAAATCCGTAGTTTACGGATCGGATCACGGATTAGGCCGTCAAAAATTTGATCCGATCCGTGAATCCAATCCGTGGTAATCCGTGGATAATCCGTAATATATATATATATATATATATATATATATATATATATATATATATATATTAATATATAACAACTATGTGGCAATCCATGTGCCACATATCGTTTTTTATTATTATTTTTTTTTTGTAACTAATTAAGTATTATACATATTAGTATATTACACACTGATATAAAACATATTAGTATTATTTTTGGTAACTAATTAAGTGTTTTTTCGGATAATTTGGATAACTACTGTCCTTTTGGTTATGCAATATTTTATAGTTTGATTATTCTTGTTATTATGCATTTAAATTGGGTTAATTTATGTTCTATTATACACTTTTGTAATTGGATATGAAATTGGTAAAAAATTAATGTCTTTCAGACAAACTGAAAACTCATGGAATTATTTTATCTCCAACCAAGATAAATGTTGAACAAGAATCTATTGATTTTCTTGGACTAGTTTTAACCCATACCGGTATAAAACTACAAGATCACATTATCATTAAGATCCGTGATTTTCCTGACATTATTCAAGATAAAAAGCAACTTCAAAGTTTTTTAGGCATCTTGAATTATGGTCGCACCTTTATTAAAGGCTTATCTCAAAAAGAGCTTCCTTTAATAAAGAAGCTACAGAAAAATGTCATTTTTGACTGGACTGATAGTGATACCTCCATTATCAAACAAATCAAAGCTGATTTAGTCCATATTCCTGAAGTTTATTTTCCTCAAAATGGCGATAAACTTATTCTTGAAACCGATGCCTCCGAGCTCTGTTGGGGATGTGTTTTAAAAGCTATCCCTAAAGATAAATGGATCGATGATACCCCATCTTATCCATTGATTCGCGCTCGCAAGACTCTAATCACACAAAAGCTTCAAAAAGAAGAATTAATTTGTGGCTATAATTTTGGAAAATTTAAACCTAATGAACAGAATTATATTATTTATGAAAAAGAACTTCTGGCAATAAAATTAGCAATTAAGCGTTTTCATATTTATTTAGCACTAGAAGATTTTATTATTCGCACCGATAATCAAGCAATTAAAGATTTCCTTATAAACAAAAAGAATTGTTTAGATGGACGTCGCTTAAAATGGTACAATGTAATTGCCCAATATTCTTTTGCTATTGAACATATCAAAGGAACTAACAACTTTCTTGCAGATTTCTTAAGCAGACCTTCAGATATATCTAACCCAGATATTTCTCTCTCTCTAAACACAGATGGATGACTACAATCCTCCACCTAAAGATAAAGACGGTTGGATCTCTGTTACTAAAAAAGCAGTATCTAAACCAACTCCATCACAACCAAACAAATGGTTTGTGGTTTTTGCAGGTCACCATCCTGGCATTTATGCAACCTGGAATGACTGTCACAAACAGCTTCGTTCATTTAATGGTTCTTGCTTTAAAGTTTATGATACACTTATAGAAGCCCAAACAGTTTTCTATAATGTGGGTCAAGCTTCTCAAAAAATGTTTTCTCAAACTCCGGATGCTGCAGAAATCAACAATTTCTACGATCCTGGTCTTCCAAACAATCTTTATGATGAAATTAACAATGTTTGGAAAGCACATAAACTTGGTGCAAATAAGAAATTCAGACAACATCTGAGTTCTCTTACAGCCCTCATAGCTGAACAAGCAGCCATGACTGATGAGCTTAAAATCGATTTTCCAATCAGTAATCATGTCGATAAGGAAGTTTCTTATGCGATTGATGATATGTTAACTTTCATCAAAGGTAAGCTGTGGGTTTACATAAAATGCTTGTAAACAGGTGAGTTGATCTATGATGTTATCATAGTCTGTTCGGCGATATTTAAATGAATTAGAGGTTTCAGAAAACACTTTTATGTCTTCATGGCCATAAAAAAGGGGTTTAACCTTATAGCGTTAAGTTTGCTTTTCATCAGAAGGTTTTTCTGGAAGAAAAAAAGGGTCCGGTCCGGATGATGCAACTTGCGCCCTTTCTAAAATAGAGCTGTGCGACATCTGCCGTTTTCCAGACTACGTTAAATTATTTACCAAATATTTCCGTAGACTTCCACCAAATGCTATCGAACATTGGTTACACTAATTTTTTCATAAGCTTCCAAATCCTTGGGATGAACTCACAGACAAAGGATATCCCGATTTTCTCGTTCGAATTCAGAAAACCGATAACATTGGTTTTCGCACTAATTTCGTCTATCGTCGCATCAATGAAAAATGTCTTGAGACTAAAGCAAAGAAGCAAGTCAAAAACCAAATCAGCAACACTGCTGAAGGTCAAGATCCTACAAGAAACTTGGAAGATCGGATGTGCACCTTATAAAGCTCCACGATCTCAACCACCCAAGCGAAAGAATTTTCGCTGGAAACAATGGAAAGCTGGTAAGCGCCCAATTCGCGCCTCCAAGAAGTACGTCACTCAAGCTGCTACTCCTCCCTCCAAACCAAAGCGGAAGACAAAAAAAAGAGCCAAAAAGTCTAAAGCCTCCAAAGCTAAATCCCTCGAAGTTAAAAAGGATTATAAATGCTATATATGCAATGAAGTTGGTCATTATGCCACCAATTGCCCCCACAAAGGCAAAAGTGCTTCAAAAATGATTAAGCATTTACACACAGATAACCTCTGTGTTGTTTATGGTCACGAGATCACTGATCCAAGTACCATACTATATGAAATTTCAAGCAGTGAATACTCCAGTAGTCCTTCTAGTACCTACACAAGCGATACTGAAGACGATTTGATAGATATTGACACTATCTGTATGATGAACCTCACTCCTTCCACCCCCGATGAAAACACTAATATAAAGCTTAGTGATATCATTGGTGAAGAAGTTCAGTTCACAAACGAACAGCTGATGCAATTTGATAAACTTCAACGTATCAAAAAAGAAGAAGTAT